ACCCAGATTAGTTTCAAGGGCCAAAGTGGTGTGCCTGGAGTCAACTGATCAGACTGGAACAGCAACACTGTAACCTGAGAAACTGTCAAAGCAGTGACACACAGTGTCTGAGTGGGGGCAAAGACCTGAAGTGATCAATCTGCCAGAAGCAAGCTGGGCCACACCCCATGCAATGTGGTCTCCTTCACCACAAGGCAACCAGGTCAGCTTTTGGCGAGAGTCCCAGGTTTAGAACCAAATGGCAGTCAGCACCAGAAACCCAGTCCTTTACATTATGTCCTGTCTATGGATAAATGTACTGCCACGTCTGGGACAATGGATCCAGGCAACAGTGACGACAACCTGGGTGGTGCCAGCTCAATCAGCAGCTTTATTCTTCTAGTTGGGCACATCAGACAATGACCCAGACAGTTCCGTCAGCAGCCACAATCTGTTTCCACCGTCTGTAACCACTAAGAATGGGTGTCTTCAATCTGCCAATCTGTAGTTTTCCAAGTGACAGACCAAACCATAGGTCATTAGCAATACCCTGAGAGTCAGTAAAAGTATAACAAGGTTCAGCAAGGAAGGTATTAGCTGGAATTATGAAAATGGCTTTTGAGTTCAGCCCATTGACCAGGCCAACCACATCCACTTTCAGTTCTGTATACCTGGTGCTGAGATCGGGCAGCTTTAGCAGCCCACTGAACACCACTGGGTTTTAGTTTAGCCAACCCATCAGTGAAGGAGGCAGCAGGCATTTAGAGCAATCTTCTAAATACAACCCAAATGTATTCTTAAACCTCTGAAATGTAACCTTCAGAAATCCAGGGTTCCACTGAGTCCATCCCTTTGTTTCAGGCAATGAATGAGGGATAAAGTTTTCCCCAGACAGCTGCCTGTTTTTCATGTAATCCAAGATGCAATGGGGTTAAGCCAGCTAAATTCTTAGATATACCAATTCCATCCAACAAGCGAGGCTTTCTGGACTCTTCTCACCGTGGTAGTCCTGAGTGTTTGATCCACCCTACAAGGGAAGTATCAGGTCAGATGGCTCAAGTGTTCAATTTTGACAAGGGTCCAGTAGTTTGCTAATAGTTGCTTTTCAGAAGGGGTTGGGGGTAGGGGAGGTAGAGGCACTCTTTCTTTCAGTGGGGCTTACACATCCCCAAAAAGACAGTCTAGGCCACAGTGGGTCAGCAATTCCTCGGAAACACAGAAATGCAAGACATCCGTGGAGAATTGTCTCCCAACAGGTGTAAATTGTAGAAAAATGAAATAATGTCGAAACATTTTACTTGTTGTGCTGGAAGCACTCAGACTTGTGGTGAGATACTCCAGGCTATGATTTATAAACAAATAAATATTAAGGCATTTTTACAGGTTTCTAAAGCTCACCAATACCAGCTCTGACCATCTTGATCCACTTCACAAACTTATGACACATTAGATGAAATAACTGGGCAATCTATCAAAGCCCAACTCGAATACCATTTCAATTTTCAATTTTAATTTTCTCCTCCGTACAATTCCCCCTTTTTTTATTTAACTAACTTCACACATAAGCCCAGCTAATCTTTACTGCTGGATGTTAGACAAAACAGAGTTCTTCCGATAAGCCCTCAGGGGAACCAGAAAAGCTTGATTAAAGGAGAGAATTTAAAATCATAGAGGTCAAAGCTGATTCCTTTTTAGGCAATTCACTTTGGCATCACTGCAGTGTGATTATCTTAGGAAGAACATTTAAATTCTAGAACAAAAAATATACTAAGCACATCCTAAAATCCTAAGAAATAGGGCAAGCAGTTACATAAAGTGAAACTGGCTTATCTTAAGCCCCATTCATCTATTAAGCCCCATTTTGTTCCATGACCTAGGCTTCTTAAGAAACGGCATGACAATTTAGCTTCCATCCCTCTAAGAGCCTGTCTACAATGGCTTATGAAGGAAGGGGTAAGAGCCAAATTCCAGGTTGGTCTCAGTTGTGTCTAAATGTCAATTTGCTTATCCCACACAGTGAAACATATGAACATCCTGAGGCAGACCTCTTTTAAGGGATAGGGTCAGGTTCCCTAGCAAGTTCTTTCATCCCGAAGGATAGACAAGAATGTGCTGTCTCTATGATTCTATGGCTAGATAGGATCACAGATATGTTTATCATTCCATTACAATTCTTCACACTCTAGACTTTATGTTCTCAAACCACTCTGTTTTAGAGAAGATCTCAATGTTTTAGTAAAGTACAAACATCATCAGTCTAGTGTTATTGTGTTCATGTGCATGTTCTGGATTAAGGCACTTTTTTTGTTTGGATTACAAACCACATTACTTGATAAATATCTGAGAAAAATGGCAGTGGGTGAGTTGCAAATGAAAGTAGACTTTACTTATTCTATGAATACAATCCTTCTAAGAAAAAAGATTCTTACAAATGTTTAGTTTTCTAAATAACTTTATAATGGAGCAAAACCATACTCTTGTAAAAAGAGCCAAGGTCCTTATTCTGGTGTAATTTATTCCCCTTTGGTCAAACAGGAAAATCAACAATAAGGTCATCAATTTTCTAAGCCACACCCACCTCCATTTCCACCCCTATGCTCCATTAATGAAATTATTTATTGATGCCCTGCTTTATCTACAAATAGCTTTGTTTTCTTTTTTCTGTTAGAACCATTAACATCAGCTTAGTTCCACTGTGCTTTTTCAAGGGAGATTTATTAAAATGATGTAGAAAGTTCATTTCCCAAAAAAAGTCACCTTCAATTTTCAACACATAAACATTACATTCTATTTCATATCACTTTGGATTAGCAGTACTTGATAATACTTCCAGCAGAGGATGTCAGCAATTCTTCTAACCCCAAACAACTAAGGCCTTTGATTCAAGAGCCAGACAGATTTGCTTATACTGGCATCTAGATAACACAACCTTAACATCTAATTTCTAATATTAGAAAAAGTAAAATCATTGCTTCTTTAACTTAATTACAAAAAGAGCATAAAGCATATTACATAAAAAGCTATTTCTGTATCTCCAATTTTCAAGGCACATTTTTCATCCAATAATATAAACACATTCACTACAGCGCATCTGGCATGTTCACTCATATCTACTTTCCCCTACCACACTTGAAATAAGGTTCTGTTAGTTGTAATCATCACTCTTCTTAAACATGCAGGGAAAGTCAAATTTTTCTCCATAAGGAAATGGTGGTAACACAGACTTACCTCCCAGGATTTAAATAGCTTAAAATGTTTTATTTGCTCAATCTTTGTATTTAAAGAATTAGTCATAAGGAAGTTAGTGGTGAGCTACCCCAACATGGGTCACTCTGGGCAGGAAGTGGCTGAGAAATTAAAATTTTTTAGAACTGCTGGCCACTTTGCCTAAATACACCAAAGACCACCTACTCTACTATTCCCTCCCAGCTATCACAGCAAAAAAATATCCCACCAGAATGCCTAGGAAGGAGGTTACTTCTGATGCAATACCAGCAAAATAACTATCCAGACTTTATGGATATTTAATATATGCCTAAAACAAAATGATAGATTTTGTCATATTATAAACATTTAAGACACCAGCCAAGGGACCATCCAGGGTCCACTCACAGATTATACTGTTAATTCATACTATAGGGCCATCCAAAATGCAGGCATTCCACTAGATAATATTCCTCCTGGAACATGTATGAGGAACATACATAAAACTAAAGCAAACCTAGAAATGATCTGCTAAAACTTTATGCAGAAAGTACTACAATCCTGATGCCAGAAATTAAAGTCTCTTTTTTTAAATTAAGAGGATTTGAGACTTCTGTGCTAAAATCGAAATTGGCTTAAAGTGTTCAGGTTTCTTTTTCACATCTGAGTACCAACTTTAAAATATCCAAACAAACTGACACTCTCGGCCTAGTGACATTTCAGGAATGAGAGACTGAACTTACCAGTAAATATGAAATACGCTTCAAAATAATGAAGAAAAATTAAAGATTAGAAGACCTCAATTAGTGGTAATAATAAATAATTAGAACTTATTTTTAATGTTGGATAATTTTTAAGGGCAAAGTGATTAAAATTAATGTTGTAACTTTCCCAGAACTCTTCGGACTACCTTTTGTGACAACGAAAAAGTGGGGCAAGGCTAAAATCTCAAATTCCAAATTTAGTCAGCTACAAAGTTCCAAATTCACCCCCATATAACCTCAAAAAAATTTAAATAAGATGGTTTATGACGGAAATACTGAAAATAAATCATCCTTGAATACTTGTAGATTTTCCCCCAGAGTACCACAAATCACATCCAGAAACCCAAACAAAACAATCACTGAAACATTTGAGACCTACAGCCGAAATTCAGAGATGTAGGACATAAAGAGGGGAGAAAACTAAGCAGATGGTTGGTTCCCTCTCAGCTCGGGCAGCACTGGTCTTTGGAGATCCTAAGCCATGCACATCACATGGTGAGTCTATAAAAGCCAGCCGCAACACAAAAATAATAATAATAGCATAAATAAAAATAGGCTCTGGTCAGAGGGAGAGGATTCGTTTACTTCCACCCTGCTGAGGTCTGTCTAACCGCTGAAAGCAAGAAAGCTATTAACATCCTGAACTAATGGGTAAACTGGTTTTCTGACAAGAGACATTTTCATGATGGACACAGAGTAGACTTGGCAAAGCTCCTTCAAGAAAAATATAGTTCCTATTTCAAAGAGCTCTGATTAGGCTTAATACCATTAAGGAACCATCAAGGATTTGTGTTGTTACTTGCTAAACCAAAACTTGTGGGTAGTTAACTTGACCAACAGTCAAGGTTTAGGAATGCGGGAGCCAATCCAGGACGCAGGCGAGCTCTAGGCATGGACAGGCCTCAGGGGGCCTCAGGGTCTTTGCAGGTTGGCAGGTCCTTGCTTTCTTATCATCACTGTTATCACTGTTATCACTTACTTATCTGGAATTCATAAATAAAAATTCAGTTATTTCATTGCATCCCCCAGGAAAAACACTGAATACTACATGAATTTAGGAAACCTCAGTGAGCTTTATTAGTGGCAGTATAAATCAATTACAATCAAAAACCAAATTAAAGAAATCTACTGAATGAATAAATTCCCAACCACGATTAACCTCCTAAACATACCCAGCTATTATCTGTTTAAAAAGACAATATTGGTTCCTTTGTAAATTAATTATCAAAAATATAACTGTCTCAATTTCCATAATACTTGGAAGTACAAATATAAATTAAATAAGGTTCAAAAGACCACATACAACAAAACAGTCTATAAAACAAAGCTAACTGTAAAAGAATTGCTTGATTTACTTGGCAGCATTTATTTTGTTACATAAAATTATTTAAAACAGTATATGTTTTCTTTATCATACATGAAAGGTCACATCCAGATGTATTTTCTATCATATCCTTATTCCTTCTCCATTGTCAAAATCTTAATTTTCACTCCTGGCTAGATTTCTCTTCCTTGGCAATTCTTTTTGTTACCCCACTGAAATACTTCTCACGGAAGGAATTATGACCTTGGTATGGCAGAAAGTAATCATTTAGCAGATGTGAATACTGGTCCCGGTTCTGGTTGTTGGAAAATAGAGAAAATAAAGATGTTTGAGTTATTTCTTCAGTTAGTTTGCAATCAAAAGACCAGTCATTTACCATAAGCAAAATCTCACCCTCTGGTGCATTTTTTTTCTTATTATCTGAATTAGAAATATACCACTACTTTATATCTGTATCATGTTTGATATCTAAAGTGTTTTCACCAGCTTCACCTCATCTGACCCACACGACAATCCTCTGCAGAGAGGACAAATACTTTACTGGGAAGATACAGACCCAGAGAGGGCAAAAAGAAATACCCCAGGCAGCACAAGTGAAGACAACAAGTGCGTCTCCTCATCCCTAGTTCAGCACAAACTGAGATCACCACTGACCATGAGAATTATCAAACCAGGAAGCGTCTACTCCAAAGATAAAGGGCACCAAAGCACTGCATGCAGGTGACATCTACAGCTACAAAACTGTGGGTATATCCACACGCAGCTGATGAAATAAACTGTTCCAGCAACTTTAACCACAGCAGATGAAGATACAGGCTAAACAAGTGATTTCCACACTTTTAGATTTCAGAGACAGGTAAGGAATAGTGCTCAGACTGACATTTGGACATTAGATATGTATATCAATCTGGATTAAAATATTTTAATTTCAGCTTAGTAAATTGAGGGATAAGAAAACTGACATAAAGCACTGAAACATCCATCAGCTTCTCATCTAATTTCACCAGATGTTTCAAACCATAAAAACAAAATCTAATTAGAAATAAAATCTAATTTCCCATGTACTTCCATAAATTCATATGCAATTCCATTTGGATTAATGTGTTTTGAGAATAGGTGTGGAAACACACTTAGAAAAGATGCAGCCTAACTTTTTATCCTGGTTTCATTACCAAAATGGCAACTACAAATATATCTGGAATTTAACAATCCTCAAAATATTTTTTATCTTTCCTTATTCCTGTATGAGATGAGCATCTTCATCTTTTCCCTCCTATCTACCATTAATAAAAGCCTAGGTTTAGCCAAAATACAACTGTTGGCTGATTTGTTTATTCAGACACTATTTTGTCACAGAGCATTTTTCAAAAATCACACAAAAAACAAATTATCAAACATGCCCACTACTTTGATTCTCTCTTTCTCTCTCACACAAATAAGTTTGTTACCTAAATTTTATGACAGTAAGTATATTAAAGTTCCAAATTCCCTCAAAAGCATGAAAACATGCTAATGGGGATATATAACTCCCAGAAGATAAAAGATAAACTTTACCGAGTTAACTTGTAGATATACAACTAAGGAATACCAAACAAAAGGTAAGTAATATTTACCTAGTATTTATTATGGACCAAAAACTATACTAAACACTTATATGCACCAGCTATTATAAACTCATCTGCTCTAAGAGATAAGCAGACCACCTACAGATGAGGAATTATTTAAGAGGAGAGACCCAAGGTAACACAGCTGATAAGTGACAGAGCAAGGATCCGAACACAGGTCTATTTAAACCTATAGACTATACTCTTAAGTACAACATAATGAGGTTCGCTTTAAAACAGCTAACCTTTTCCCCAACTCAAGAAGCAGGAGTATGACTCTGAGAATAAACAGGTGATGAACTAAGGCTTTCACGGCTGAGCTAGGTTATCCATGCAGAAAGGAACAGAATTGGATCAGAAGTACTATTAATTTAGTTCTAATAAGAGGATTACTTTCAATGACACGGAATTTTCATACCAGGAGGAAATATAAGGAGCCACGGGGATGCCTGAGGGATACCACAACCCCAGGAGTAGTTAACTTTAGAGGACTCGAGTCTGGTCCACATCTCAAGAATGTACCTGGACAGCAATAATACAGAACAATGTTCCAGCATTTAACCTTGGCTTATGCACTTCAACTTTTATCAAACATCTGACTGAAGAGTCATATGAAAGGAAGGGACATGCCATCATCTACTCCTCCAGGTGTGCAGATCCTGTCCTTGTATCAGATATGATGTCTAGAAAACTTCTCTACTTCTTGAACTAACATAATTCTGGCAAAAATGTCTTTACTTGGTTATATTTTAAAGCTACATACAGACGCTGACATCTCTCCTACTACTTTACTTCCCACAGCTTTCTGAATCCTTCTCCACCCAGTCATCAAAATCAGGAATGTGGACACAAAACTAAACTCAAAATTGATCGAAGATCTAAATGTTAAGACATGAAACAATAGGCAAAAATCTCTTGAATGAGCAATTTTTTCCTGGACACATCTCCTCAAGCAAGGGAAACAAAATAAAAAATGAACAAGTGGATTACATTAAAGAGTTTCTGTACAGCAAAGAACACCATCAGCAGAACAAAAACGGAACATACAGTATGGGAGAATATATTCGTAAACAATTTACCTGATAAGGAGTTAACTTCCAAAATATATAAAGAACTCACATGCCTCAACACCAAAAATACAAATAACCCAATTAAAAAATGGGTGGAAGATCTAAACAGACATTTTTCCAAAGAGGAAATACAGATGGCTAACAGGCACATGAAAAGATGGTCCACATCGCTAATTATGAGGGAAATGCAAATCAAAACCATAATGAGGTATCACCTCACACCAGTTAGGATGGTCACTATCCAAAAGACAATAATAAGCATTGACAAAGATGTGAAGAAAGGGGACCATCCAACACTGTTAGTGGGAATGTTAATTGGTACAGCCACTGTGGAAGGCAGCATGGAGGTCCCTCAAAAAACTAAAAACAGGAATACCATATGACCCACTAATCCCACTTCTAGAATTTACCTGAAGAAAACAAAATCCCTGATTTGAAAAGATATATGCACCCCTAATGTTTGTTGCTGCCTTATTTACAATAGCCAAGATATGGAAGCAATCTAAGTGTCCATCAAGCGATGAATGGATAAAGAAGTGGTACATATAAACAATGGATTATTATCCAGCCATAAAAAAGGAAGAAATCCTCCTATTTGCAACAACATGGATGGACCTAGAGGGTACTGTGCTAAGTGAAATAAGTCAGGCAGAAAAAGACAAATACCATAAGACTTTACTTACTTGTGGAATATCAAAACAAAACAAAACAGAATGAACAAAATAGCAGAAGACTCACAGATACTGAGAAGGACTGGTGGTTACCATGGGGAAGGGACTGGAGTGAGAGGGTGAGGGGGATAAAGGGGCACAAAAATTCTCAGTCATAATATAAGTTGGTCACAGGGATAGGAGTACAGCATGGAGAATATAGCCAGTGATTCTGTAACATCTTCCTGTGTTGAGAGATGGTAAACGCACTAGCTGGGGTGAGGATTTAATAATGTGGCTAACTGTTTAACCACTGTGTTGTATTATTGAAACCAATATAAGATTGTGTATCAATGGTACTTTTAACAAAAAAAAATCAGGAACCTGGGTCATATTCCTCTCCCTCTTCTTCTGACATTTAATCAGTCCTAAAATCTTAGACTCTGCATCCTAAATATCTAAAACACCCTTCTCTTCACCCTTAACTCCAGTACTAGTTTAAGTCTTCCTCATCGCTCCTTGTTTTCTCCCTAAACAACTAATTGCTCTGCCTTCAGTGGCTACCTCTTCAGTCTCTTCTCCATACTGAGACCAAACTCATTTTATTAAAATGCAAATCTAGTAGATCATCATTCCTGACTAAAATCCAAATGGGTTCAAGCTTTCCCCAATTCTGAGGCTTTTCCCTTAGCGTGTGGAGTTAGAGCCCATTGCACCTCTTCTTGCTGAATGTCCTCTCACTTTCCTCTCCTATGTAAGAGGGATCAGAACACAGTCAGGCAATGAGGTTCTTCCCAGCTCGCCCTCTGTCATCTTTTCTTCCTGTGACTCCTCTAGGCCATGCAAGAGCACCTCTGTATTGAAAAGTACTGTGGCCTACTTCAGGGAATGTCCTGGAGCTGCAGTGGTGAGGAGGAGAAGATGGGGCAGAAATGTGGGATTCCAGAGTGCAAGCTCAGAAGGTACAGTCACAGTAAGGCAGCCAAGAACAGGCTGGCAACTCTCTCAGGCTCAGCTGCTGGCGTGCCTACCCCACCTAAGCTGCCAAGTCTGCAGCTCACCAGGGGAAGCAGGCGACAAAAGCAGAAGTCCAGTGGAAGACAAGTTCTCTCTTTCATTTATGAGGAAACCAACAAAATAGCTTGTCTTTGGCTGGAAGGACACAGATAGGGCAAACAGGTGACAAAGAAAAGAGAACATAAAGATCAGAGAGACTGGTAATGAACAGAAGGTACTAATTACAGTAATGATTAAAGTAATGATTAAAACCTATGCTAATTAATGGTTATCAGGAAACTATGTTACTACCTATGACATTCTTCATCTGAATCATTTACCTCAAGATTCCCTCAGAATAAAGTAAAAGCAAAATAAGCCTCTAACAGACTATGTGTTCAGGACTACAGAGACTTAGAGGCAGAGAAATACATGCTACTGGAAAGTTGGGAAAGACTAGTAACCTTAGAAACGCAACCTCCGTAGGGAGGTTCCTATTTTCTTTATCTCTCAGGAGGAGAGAAGAATCAATGTGATGTATATATTTGGGTCCTATGCTGGACCCAACAAGACTGACTGCCCTGATTATGAAATAAGATGCGCATAACACACACTCCTGGAGAACCCAAAAGCTCCAGACCCCTCGCGCAGCCAGGGTTCTGGCAGAGCCATTCCACTACCGGGAGGCCTAAGTGCTGCTTCAAGGGAAATCAGGCCCTCCAGAGAGTCTGGCTACCATTTTCATCTGAGTGGCAAAGTTACAGTTTATAAAATGTTCCACATAAGGCAGTCAGTATATTTTTGGTCCACCACACATTTATCACATCCATATCATGCATATAAATATCATATACCTGTGAACAATACACAGTTAAAATATACCCTAGCCCATATAAAATATATTGTTGCCCTATTCAGAATTTATGTTACCTTGATGCTGAAGATAAGGACAAAGGATATTTCCTCTCTTTTCTT